GCATTATTAACCTTTTAGGATTATTAAAATAGAATGTTGAAATGGTTGGATTATTTACGTAAAACTTTCCTAGGCTTTTAGTATGCAAAAATGTTAGTTACCCATAATAATTAAACATATCTTGCATCTGATGCATGGTGATGAGACTTGTTAAAAGAAAAAGGATTAGAGGTTTCAACTAAAATTTGCAAATTAAATGATAAAGTTTGCAATACTAAAAATTACTATACTTGAACCTCTTTTTTTATTACTTATTTTTATTTTTATATTTTGATAGATTGCACAAAGTAACTAATTAAGGGTGTGTTCTATTCACCTGATTTTTACTTATCTGAACTTAACTGAACTTATCTGAACTTATCAACCCTTATTTAAACTTATCTGAACTTATTACACCTTATTAACACTTATTAAGACTTATTAGACCTTATTAACACTTATAAGACTTTATGGCTCACGAGTTGCTGTTGGCAATGGAGAAAAAACGCTCTTCTGGGATCATCTTTGGTGTTCTGAGGTCCCTTTGAGTAGTATAGTTACTCAAGCACTACCTATGGAGCTTGCAGGAGCAACAGTAGCAGAGATGTGGGAGGAGAATATAGGGTGGAGATGGAATATTTTTTCCCCTTTTCTACCTTCAGAAATGCTGAAAATCATTCAAAGTCATGAACTTCGAGTTGACCCAAACGTTGGAGACCTTATTTACTGGAAGGACAGTAAACATGGTAAATTTTCTATTAAGTCTGCTCTTAGTATAATGAGGCATGAAACTGATATTGTGGATGATGACTGTTGGGATACGATTTGGAGTGCTCCTGTCCAGCAAAGGATTCATGCCTTCTTGTGGCTAGCCTGCCATGATAGACTTCTTGGAAACTTAAATCGATACAAGAGGAAGTTAACTGATGAGGCTAAGTGCTTTATTTGTGGGGCTAGTGAGGAAAGCAATCTCCACATCCTTCGAGACTGCCCTAATGCTAGGAGTATATGGAGAAAAATCATCCCTCAAGATATATATGGATACAATTTTCTCAAGGCTCCCTCAGGGAGTGGCTCACACGAAACTTGAAGCACACAAATAGGGATGATGAGGAATGTTGGGCTACATACTTTGGAGTTACAACATGGTGGATTTGGAGATGGCGAATTGTTATACTTTCAATCGAAGTGATGAAATTCCGGTGGACATTAGTGCATTCTTGCATATTAGATATACTGAGGCATGTAGGGCAGTTAAAGAAGCCTTGGAGAACTCTCCTCATAAACCTGTGCAAAGAGTATAAAAAAACATCAACTGGCATGCTCCTGATGATGGTTGTTATGCTTTAAATTGTGATGGAGCAGCCAAAGGATGTCAAAGATCTGCTGGGGGAGGAGGAATTATCAGGGATCAAGAAGGTCGATTTGTCTCGGCTTTTGCAGCTAACTTTGGGGTATGCTCAGCCTTTAGAGCTGAAATCAGGGCACTCACCAGGGGTCTTGAACTTGCCAAAAACCTGCAATTTTCGAAGTTGGAAATACAATAGCTTGGTGTGTGTTCAAGCTCTACGGCAACAAGAAGTACCAAGGGAAGAGAACAGCCATATGATTCAATTTTGTCAGAAGCTGATAAAGGAAACGGGATGGCAAGTGAAGGTGGCTCACGTATATCGAGAAGGGAATAGAGCGGTGGATTGGTTGGCCAACCGCGGAGTCTCTCTAGACTCTCATTTGATTATCATTACAGTAGTTCTGTCAGAGTTGGGTCGTATCTTAGAGGAGGATGCTAGGGGGGTGGCTTTCCCACGCCTAGTTCCTCCGTAGTTTCGCGTCTTTGCTTTTTTGGTTCTTTAGTTTTCGTGTTTGTTTTTTTTTTTCCATGTTGCTTTCTTTTCTTTGGTTACTGGCTAACCTCTTTTGAATCAAAAAAAAAAAAAAAAAAAACTTATAAGATTTTATTAGACATTATTTGTCATTCTTGAAACATATTGTATAACATATTGGTAATATGAGTACATAATAATATATTAAAATAAAAGCAAAAAAATATGAAAATATTAGCATTTTTATTATTTCAAAAATAAATAAAAACAATCAAAAGTGTATGTAGCAATAACACTAAATAAAATTTTAATCTTCTAAAAGTATGCTTCATCATCATCATCTGTCATCACTTTCTTCTTCCGTATCATCCTCTACGACACCTCCAACCGACTTTCATATATCTTTTGGTAATTTATCCCGAATTCGGTTCATAGCTTTTTTCCTTTGGTTATCATACATATTATAATCTGCTCTAGTCTCCATTTCTTTAACCTCTTAAAATATTGGTATCCCTAATTCAATTCGTATAGAAGGATGAAATTGTGAAGCGTAAATGTTGCAACAATGATAGACAATTGAAATGCTTCATCCATCGGTGGCATCATCTTTAATATCTTCCATTTTTTGTTTAATACGCCGAAACATCTTTCAATTGTTGTACATAAAGAGGAATGTCCATAATTATAATGCTCTAAGTTTCCAATAGGTGGACCCCTTTCTTCAAAATCTGGCATATGATACCTCAAGCCTTTGCCAAGATGTGGGCTTGGATATGTCGAGTCAACTAAAAAGTATTTTCCTTTTCATTCAGAAGAAAATATTAGTATACACTAAAAATAAAGGTAGCATATTTTTCTAAGTAATAAGTAATAACAATTTTAAACTTTAAATAGTATCTGAAGGTGGATGGGAAAATTTCTTGGTTACATCACCTAAACAATGTGTCCAAACTGTCGTGTCATGTGCACTTCCTTCGAAGCCCACATTAAGAAAAGTAAATATCATGTTAAACCAACACGCAGCCATGACATTCCATGTTTTGTTTCCTTTACGTCCTCTATATATGGCTTACCACCAACATCATCAACAATTGCTTCTACATGGCTTTCATCCAAAGCTTTGACATAATCCTAAGAAGGAACTTTTTTTTTTTTTTTTTTTGTTTAATATAAGAACGATAAAAATGTAGCATGTTAGGATAAAAATTTTCACTAATTAAATACATTAAAATTGTTACCTTGAAAAATGGCCAATATAATGAATTGTTAAAACTGCACTAAATTATATAAAAAAGGTTGATATCGAATGTTGAGATCTCTCCGCAGCATCACGATATGAATTAGCTTTAGCCATCATGAATAGACATATACCGACTTGCTCTTCAACGTGTATAAATCGATCATCATATAATAAATCAACTAGTTCTTTTCCTCTTAATAATTCAACAAGGTTTATGAAGATATCTTTATCAACCCTTAGTTGCTCTTTACACAAATTAGGATGTCCAGTCAATAACCTATGTATCCACTCACTTCCAGGTTCACCCCCTACATGTAGAGGCATTCGTTCTATTTGAGTAAGTAATCTCTTCAACTCGTGCAAGGCAATATACATCATACAATTTTGGTGCAATGTTTCGTTCATTCTACAAATCAAAATAAAAGTTAATTTCTCAAAAAAAAAAAAAAAAAAAATCAACGAATACGTAATTAATCTGTTCATACTTGTCTTTGGAACATAATAAAATAAAGTTTCACATATCACAATAAAAATACATTTATCAAAATAAATTAATTAACAAAATTTAACTTGTCCCATATTGGAAAAAATGAAACTTACACGCCCAAACTTTAAAATAACAAGTGCTAAGAATCTTAGATGACTTATGATAGTTTAATAATGTCATGTTTAATGACTAATTAGAAATTAGGGGTTATCTTTCATAATATAAAAAATTGGGGATTACCGTTGAGAAACTAAAAAAGTAGGGGATTACCATTGGAAATTTCCCATAAATAAATATTACTCTTATGACAAATGTGTCCACACCGGTGTGCCTTGCCATACTAATTTATAATGATAAAAATTTATTTTAGGAAATTTTGTCTAAAACTACTCTAAAAATAGGGTTATTTGTGAACAACTACCCGTTTGTTTTTTTTTATTTGTTTAGAACGCAAGTCATGAAACGTTTGGGTAGCACTACCCAATAACGTTTTCCATCCAATTAAGATGTTATTGGGGCCCACTTTTTCACTTTTTCCATCTAATTAACTCCCCCTAACTACCATCTCTCCTCCCTTATTAATTTCCCTCCATTCTCACTCGGTAGTTGGGGGAGTTAATTAGGTGGTAAAAAGTGAAAATGTAGGCCTCAGTATCGTCTTTATTGGACGGAAAACGTTATTGGGTAGTGGTACCCAAACGTTTCATAACTTGCGGCTAGTTCTAAACAAATTAAAAAAAAAAAAAAAGAAAAGAAAAAAACGGGTAGTTGTTAACAAATAACCCTATCTTTAGAGTAGTTATAGACAAAATTTCCTTTATTTTATATCAACTAAATTAAACATATATATTTTAGCTGAATTTAATAGAAATGGATCAAGAAATAAAATATGGAAGAAATACATACTAACTATAGTTTTTAATTCGTCAAAAAACAAAAAAAACCATTGTTTTAAAAAATTCTTAACAAACAGTATAAAATGTAGAAACCAACTTAATTAAAATTAAACCAAACCACTAAACTTTGTAAAGGTACTTAGTAGAAAAATCAAATAAAATAGCTAAGGAGTAGTGAAGCTAAGCAAATTTCATGTTGAGTATCTTCCTCACCTGAAGCAAAATATTCTCAAAAAAGCAAAATAATAGAAGTCGTTGAGACCAGAATTGCTGTTTTGGAAAGATGGAGATAGTGACTATTCACTATTTCCTCTGTTTTTAAATACTTGCTCCATTTCTTCATGTGCAGAGTTTTAGGAGAACTTGGAGAAAGTAATGAAATATGGAGGTAGTGGGGTAGGTGGAAGAATAAAAAATTGTAAAAAAACAAAAGTAGTTGAGAGAATTGGAGGAGAGATTATATAAAATTAATAAAATATGATTTATGTTGAGTCTTGTAGTTGAGAGAGTTAAATTAAATATTGTAAATGCTTTCCAATGAAGGAAATGAAGCAAGTATTTAAAAGGGCTGGAAATGAAAAGTGGGGCAAGTATTTAAAAATGGAGGGAGTATTAAGCAATAATCCGAAAAAATCTTGTTTTAATCATCTCAATGTAAATCTTATTAATATTTAATTTTTTTAATAAATTTTTCATATTGATAATTATAGACATTTAATTTTAAAATTGTGTATGGTAAAATGATATAAGAAACTTGTCAACTAAAAAAAAAATAGAGGATATGTATAAACTTAAAATATATAAAATGATCCATAATGGAAAAAGTAAGCCTCAAAAGTTGGTCATGCGAATCATATTCTGCTTATTGTAGTACTATAGCTTAATGATGTTATTACCACCAATATTTAAGAAAGCAAACTAAAGTCACACACAACAAAACTTAACACTACGTAAAATAATCATATATGGCAGAAGAAAACACTCCTGTTCTCACCCTGAATGTAGAACCTTCTATAACTAACGAAAACACAATAAATAATGATGTAACAAACACAATAACAGAGCTTACAGTAGAAGAAGTGATTGAAAATTATGTGGGTTCATTCGGATACTCGCAAATAATACAAGCATTTTTGGTATCATTGGCATGGATGTTTGATGCTCAGAGTATTCTGGTCACCATCTTCAGCGACGCCGAACCCGAAAGATGGAGATGCAAGCCAAATCATATGTGTAATGGGTTGCAAAGTGGTAAGGGGATATCAGTATGTGGGCTTGAACCAGATAGTTGGGTGTGGGAAGGTGGAAGACATAGTACAATATTAGTTGAATGGGGACTTGTTTGCAACCATAAGTTTCTTGCTGCTCTTCCTGCTTCTTGCTTTTTCCTTGGCTCTCTCATAGGTAATTAATTTTTAACCTTTATATCTTACAATTGTTGGTACACAAATATTGTTCATCATAAATTGATGTGCAAACCATTTTTTTTTTTTTTTTCCTCTCTCTTTTAAACAATCACTAAACATGTAAAACTGTTCGTTCCTGTTTCGGTAGTAACTTGTTAATCTTTTATTATTTGGTATTACTTTAATTAAGGAGGAAGCATTATTAGTTTATAATGGGTAAAATCTATACCTTAAGTTTGATACCGGGGTGTTTGGTTCATGTAACTTAAGTGAAAAGTACAACGTATTATTTCATAGTCGGTAAAATTTATATCTTGAGTTGACAAATGAAATTAATAAATCCGATAATTTAAAAATAAAAAAAAAAAGTTTAGAAATTCGAGGAGGGAGGTGGTCGGATATGAGTCATACTATACCTTAAGATATCAAATAAAAGATCGATGAAATTCTTATAATCTTATATACATTTAGGTGCAGGGTGAACCCAAATTATTTTTTTTACTCATTTGTTGATTAACAAAATAAGCAAAATAGTGCCTTTGGGTGCACGTTACACATGTTAGACCCTGTGTATATAAAATCTCTCTTAAAAAGAAAAATATTCATTTCCAAACAAAATCATATACTTGTTATTAAGTATCAACTTCAATTCTAACCCCATATTATTACTACCTTTATTTGATTTCATTCATTCTTAATTTCAAACACATACCACCCTCCGAACCAGACCATTCAGAAATTTAATATTTTTTTTTTTTTTTGATGTACACGCGTCACTAAAAAGTCAAGGATATAAACAAATGTAAAATATCCTAGACGTAGGGTAAATATTAAGATTTTATGTTCACTAAATGAAATATATTTATATGTCTACACTTTATTATATCATGAGATAAAGTCACCCATTGTTTATTCCCTTTAGATTATTAACCACAAGTTTATTTGTCATGGAGGATTAGAGGGTTCTATTCTCTTAGAATCACTAATATGTTACGTCTTATTAGATTAGATATAGACATATAGTTTCATTTTCAAAAAAGATAAAGTAACATTCCTAACCACCGCACCCCTTCCATCGAAAGACCAAAGACCAAATTGAATAATGCCCTCCGAATTAGTGCTTCATACAAGTTAGAGTACGTACTATATTTTTGGAGTAATATGAATTAGTGCAAGTCAATTAGGACTCTTTATTTGCTAGCTAATAATGTTAGTTCGTATTTGTTGGTACGTAAAGAGGCACTTGTATCATCATATTCCACTTCTAGTTGTTCCTCGTGCTTATTAGTTTAAATAATTATTCTTATTAGGACACTTGAATAAAGCATATCCCACTTTTAGTTGTTCCTCTTTCTCATTAATTTTTTATTTATATTTTTATAGGCTTTAATTTTATGCTTTATTAATTACAAGCTTTATATTAAAATAATTAAAAAAAAAATTAAGAAGTGAAAATAATAAAAGTGAAGGATAAGTTCAATTTATTGATACATGCTTAGTGACTTGAATTTTTAACTTAAATACTTTTGTAAAGTAAAAGAAAGTGAAAACTTACAAAAAAATAAAAAAATAAAAAAATAAAAAAATAAAAAAAGATAACTAAATAACTAAAAGGTGGCAAAACTCAACTGATTAAAATCAAAGGTAGAAAAGTTTTCTAAATGAAATAAACACAACTTATGCTCCACATTATACAACCTGGTTGTAATTTAAATGTTTTTCTTAGATAACCCTCATGTTGCACCCCTTCTTTACTTAACCTCTAACTTCTTAAATTTATATTTAAGAGTTTTACATAGGATTTAAATTTGGTAGCCAAAGAAATTAAATACCGGAGTATATATATAATTTGTGAATGTATAGTTTGAGTTTGAGTCGGATGAATCAAACCTATTACTTGTAATAGTAAATTTTAAAAACCAATTCAATGAAATTAAACGCGAGTTACGTATGTAACAGGAGAATAATTTGAGTAATTGTCGGATGATTCAAATCTAAACTTGCAATTTGCAAAATTAGGTTGTTTTCAGTCCTTTAATTTTAACTAAAGATCTATTCATCTATAAGAGCTTAATATGCATAGCAATACTTTTAAAGTTTATTAAATTATTAAGAAAATCTAATGGGCAAAACATACATATAAGTAGACATAACTAGGTTCCTCACTGAAATATCATGGATTCATATGGTGGGTGGGGACAGTAAGGTATATTGTTTTTGTTGAATTTTAACAAATTTTAATGGTCACCGCATGTGTTTATTTTATAGTCCATAATAAAGAACGTACATGAAGCATTCCCATATTACGTGGTAACCAAAAAAAGAATTATATGATAGCTCATTTTCACATAGAAAGCATGAAAACTAAATTCCCCTATTCAGAGGTTGCTGATTCTTGATGTAACTAATGCGAATAGTGCCAAGATTTGGATACATCAAGTATATAATCTTAAATAAATCTATCCGATCTTCCTCTTAAATTGTTGTTTGTTATTATCATGTCCTTGTCTTCTAGAGGGCAAAAGATCGAAACCTCACAACAACTAAATGTATTTTGGGTCGGTAAGCATCATTTTTTATACCCTTCTTATTAGGTCATGTCCACTTTATCTTATTTTTGCTGAATTGAAATTATTTTTATTAAAATGAAATACTTTTTTGCTGAACTAAAATATTTTTTCTGAACTGAAATTAATTTTACCGAACTGAAATTAATTGCTAAACTAAAATTATTTTTATTGATTAGTTTATAATATTTCTTCTTTAATTAAGTTACTAATTTTTATCAAACCAAAATTATTTTCACTGAACATAAATTATTTATGCTGAACAACACTTATTATTAATAAACTGAAATAATTTTTACCTAACTAAAATTATTCTAACTGAATTGAAATTTTTATATTAAATATTATTTTAAGGTAGTGAACATTGTCTTACTCTTAAGTATACTCTTAAGTATCAAACTCTCAAATATTGGATATAAAAAAGCATTAGAGTTGAATATTAGTCAGGGTCTTATATAACTATATCCTCCTTACCCGAAGATATAGGAGATGGAGGGATGGTTAGTCCCTCCATCTCCCTCCACCCTCCCCCCCCCCCCCCACCCAAGTGGTTAGGGGTTCTATCCTCATCCCCCCATTTCTGTGATAGGGTGGGAGACCTCCCATATCTTATCGTAAAAAAAATAAAAATAAATAATAACAATAATAATAATAATAATAAAAGAAGTCATTGTCATCCTTTAACGCATATTTTTAGTATGTTTCGGGGTGGCCGGTAATAAATTCTCATGGCGTGCTTTACAAGTGGAGACACTTTTGTAGTTCTACATTTGTTTTATTGGCTATAGATTGAACAATTTTTTACCACCGTTTCGGATGAAAATAATAGGACCTTTAGCAGGCCTTTTTCAAAGGAGAAGACTGGTCTCAGTCCAAGTGACGATTGGGTCGAGGGTTTCCTGCACAACAAACACACGTAAACTAGCCTCGGGGGTGGTTGCGGAGTAAGGCCCCTCCGATGCTAAAGTCAGTTCAGTGAATTGAGAGTAAATGCTATGCAAGAGAATAAATTGCTTGAGGGTGATTGTGAATGAATGTAAGAGGAGACAATTAATGTTTTTTATACCTGTGCTCAATAGAGGAGAATTGGTCCCTTGAAGTCAGATGAGCTTGCCTTGCTACTGAGCTTGTTGACTTAGCATGCTTTTGGAGAGTTGGACCTTGCGTTGGGCTTTTGTAATTAAATCATTTGGGCCAAACCAATTAGGTAAATCGAATTGGACCCAAACAACTTGCCCCCCAGACCTGATTCGGAAAGATGACGGGTCGGGTTTTGACTTGCAACATGGAGGGAAACAAATGATTGTAATTTAAAAAGAGAATCTGGACAGTTAATGATGCTTTAACTGTCATTAGGGAGAATAATTGGGCAAGATAGAAGGTTTAATGGGTAGTTACTTTGGGAATGTGTTTAACGGTTAGATTTAAGAGGAATTAGTGGGGTTCTTGGCGGTTTAAAGCTCTTGGAATTCTTGATTCCAGCAAGCCTATATAAACCACCCTCACCACTTTTTTCCGGCACATTTCGCAAACACGAATTCCCAGAAATTCGCAAATACCCTTGAGAACCCGATTTCCATTCTTCCTTATTCCCAGAAGCTTTAAAGTGAAATTCGTTGCACCCAACTTTAAGATCGGCAAATTCCGCACTTGATAAAGGTAATTTTCTTTGAAATTTCTTCGGTTTTCTTTACTTTTTCGAGTACCCCTCTTTTTTTCGATTTCTCGCACTTCCTTTTCTCAAAAATGGCCGACAACCGAGGAAAAAGGCCTATTGAATCCGAACCAATTGTTGAGGAAGAGGAGGAGGAAGTACCTCAGTTGATTCCGAGGCGGAATCACCCTTTGGCAATGATGCCCTTTCTTAGCGGCTAGAACCCTAATGCTAGGACTGGGCCTGCTGTAATCTCAAGGGGAGCTGCGTTGAGGGTTGTGCCCCTTACTAGCGTACCCTCAAGAGATTCTGAAGGAGCCAGCACCTCTGGCCGAAGAGTGACTTCGGCTACTAGGCTGTTAACTCCTGAGGAAAGGGAGTGGACTGACGTCCAGGAGAATGAGGGCGTAATGACTGCTGCGCCCTATTCTTGGTGGGTTAAGAATGACGCCAAGTATTGCTTTGTCGAATAACTGGAAGTGTTCTATGGCATAATGGAGGAGGACAGGTACGTATTGGTGTCGAATGCCCTCTGCTGAGGACAGAATTCATCGTCCTCCACCCGGATATATCTAGGTGTATACTCGGCAATTGCAATATGGGCTTCGGTTCCCTGCCCATGCTTTTGTCTTGAAGTTGCTGAATGGGTACAATATTTCCCTGGCCCAACTGACTCCCCGTAAGCATCCGAAGGATAATGACTTATCTATGGGTCTGCTTGTTCTACGGGCTGGAGCCGAGCGTGCATTGCTTTTGCTGCACACATAAATTGATGCC